AGTGCCGACCCCATGTGCTGGAGGTGGCAGGTTCAAACCCAGCCCCGGCCAAAAACTTTAAATAAGTAAATAAATAATAAATAAAATCCACACTGTATTCCCCACTGCTGGGAGTAAGGGCAGCCCCAGGGTTGGCTACACAGGGACCCCCCATTGGTAGGGGCTCTCTCCTAACATTTGGTATCTTTCTTCCCCACCGCTGACACACCAGGTAAGTGGCAGGCTCACCAGCAGAAGAGCTCCCACACAGGCCCCCGGTAGCCGAGGGGAGAAGATAGAGCCATCCCACAGTCTTCACAGGAGGGGACAGCGGGGGCGGATTGCTTGTTTATTTGTTTCCTGGAACACCCTGTTAAGAATCTCGGCAATTGCAGTTAGTGCCCTATCGTTTGGCAAGCAGAACTGCTTCTTGTCGTTCCCAGCTGCACGGGATCTAATTCGCAAATACACCATCTTGCATTCAGCACTTAAATGGAAAACAAGCAGTCTGGGGAGGGAAGCAAGCGATCTAATTCTGCACGCCCATTTCAGAAGGATTTATGTTTGCAGGTCGGTTGACTGGCTGGTGCTAACCCGGGGAGAATTTCTTGGAGTCCCGATCCTTTCTCACCTCGCCCTCCAGAACCCACTCTGGTAGAGGTTATGAGCTGCAATTCAACATAAAGCGAAAACAGGATTTGGTTCGGCCTTAGGCCTTGCCAGTATAAAATCGCAACAAAAAATCTGTTTGAGAACTCAGATTTTAAAGGGAGATACTACTCACTCTTCCAACTGGAAACCTGGTTAAAAGAAATTAAGGCCTCTCTTAAAGGTAACTAAGATTAGAGGGCTTGATTTCCGTTTTCTGTGTTTCTGTGGGCCAAACGCCCAGGTCGGTCAGCGAGTTTCTGTGTGGAATGACGAATTCCTCTCGCCTGAATTCTAAAATGATAACTTTGCTTGGTGCAGCAGCTGCGAACGTCTGGCGCCAAGCGACCCAGTACTGGCCGGGGTATTGTTGCGTGGAGATGTGGTAGTAAGTGGGGAAAGAGGAAGAGTCACGCCTTGGTGAAAAGTCGGGAAAGAGGCTAGAAGGGAAGTAACGGCGGCCTCGGCCCCTTTAAGTGCTTCACTGACTCAGCTAAGCTTCCCCCTCAGGTCGCGTTTTTTATGAATGAAAAACGTCCTTACATTCATTATATAAACAAGCCTGTGCTGATTGGCCAAAGGCCCCCGGTGCATAAATTATGTAAAACAGACCCATGAGAGGGTGGAGAGAGATGCACTGTTGGCCAATGGGATTTGGGGTTGATGAGGCGGCTCGGCTGGATTTGCCCGCAGACAGGGTAAACAAGAGGTGATAGACAGCCGCGGGAACGTCCTCGAGCCAATGGGAATGAGGCTGGGCTTGGGCCGCGGGCCAATGGCGACGGGCGGAGCTGCGGGCCGCTGGGGGCCGGGCCAGCGCTCCAGCCTGGTTGGCAGCTGCAGCGCAGAGTCCAGCCGCGGGTGCGCGGAGCGGTTCTTGGTCTCCAGAGCGGTTCGGCCCAGCCTTTCGCCTAGGCGCCCAGGCTCGGTGCGCGCGTGCGTGAGCGCGCCTGCGCCGCCAGGGCAGCTGCAAGAGGAGGAGAGCGGCAGCCTCAGGTGAGGGGGCGTTGCGGGGGCAGGGGGCCATTCAGAGACGGCGTCCAGCAAGGGGTCCGAAAGCCAAGAGTAAACGGGCTTTTTGAGAATCCTCAAAGTCGGGATGCACTGTCTGGGGTGAGCTGCCCCCAGGGCTGGCCCCCTTGACCCGCGGCCCGGTTCGATTCTGTTCCTGTGAGGTGTCGGGCGGGTGCGGCTAACGGTTCCGGAGCGCGCGGAGAGTGGGTTTCCGCACGTCGTGGGGGAGGCGCGCGGGAGCGCGAGGTGCGGGGGCTCTGGGTTGGAGATGGGGGAGCGCGGAGTTGCAAGGCTTTTGCAGTCTCTGGAGATCTGAGAGCCCCGAGGGGACTTGGAGGCTCGCGAGAAGAGAGGCTTGGCAGAGCTTTGCAGTTGGGAGGAGGGGGCGGAAAGCAGTTTGCGGGGGGGAATATTTGGGAGGTGCTGACCCCCCCGCCCGAGCACCAGGAGGGGTTAAATGACATAGACATTTGCAGCCTGCGGGGTTGGGGGTTGGCCAGGAACTTACGCTGGCCTTTCAAGTTTCAGGTTGTGCAAAGTGGACACTCGGTCCCCCTACTCTCACCCCTAGCAACCTGAGGGCGTTGGGCTGCGCAACTACTCTCGAGAAAAATCGGGGAGCACCAAAGCAGCAGCCTGGGGATGGTAGGAAGAGAACGGGTGTGGAGGGGAGACGGAAAGATGCTTGGAGCTCGCGCTGGATTGGGGATCTGGCCGCATTTTCAGAGGGGTGGGGGAAAAACTCGGGTGGGGGACCGAACTCCTGGTCGAGGAGGGGGTTCCAGAAGCGATGTTGGGGGTGGGGGGTGGCTTGAAGGCGGTTGGTAGCGTTCGGCGCCGCACCTCGGTTTTGTGAATGTGGGTGACTTTATGAATGAAGCGGGTTTCTTTCGTTGGCTCGCTGCTCCCTGCGGCTTTTCCCCCCACCCCCTCCGCTCGCTCGTTCGCTCTCCCTTTTTTGTGAATGAAGCATTGAGCTTTCTTCCTAAAACGCTGGGGTGAGGGGCCTGCGTCGGAGGTTGGGCGTGCGTTGGGTGTGGGGGCGGGGGCGCAGCTGAAGGAGTTTTCATGAATGGGGAAGGCTGGGAATTGGGTGGAAGTGTGTCTTGTTTTGTGAATGGGGCCCAGCGCGAGAGATCCAGTTACAGCCTCTACCTGATGTGGCGGCCGCGGCTCGCTTTCCCATTCATAAAACCGGGCCCGCTGCGCGCTACGGGGGAGGGGCCTCGATTGCGCCGCTGCGCCGCGTTGAAGTTTTCCTGGGGGCACCCGGGAAGGGGGGCACAGAGGAAGTGGTTTAAACTCCTGGATAAACTCGAGCCTTCCCTTCAGGCTTTAAAAAGAATTAATACTTTGAACACAGTTTTTCTAGCTCCTGAACTCTGAGAGCTGCTTTAAAGATCTTCAGTGTTTCTTTTGGGTTAGCTTTACGGCAGTTTATTTAAATTTTTTGAAGATATTTTTGCACTTTAAGGTGCAAACAAAATAAACAAAATTTTCATCACGAAAATATCTCTCCCTCCTGTCTCCTACTCATCCCTTCCTTCCAACAGACTTTTATAGAATTTCTAAGGCCACTGTTTAATCTGACAGATTTTCATAGACGACAGAGAACTCATTGCTGAGGTCGGACTTTATCTACCGGTTGGTGACATTTGAGAGAGAGGCTTTATTCTGAACATTTTTATGCTGTTTGGAAGGCAGGCTGGCGGGAGTGTTTTTCTAGGAAGTTATGAACTGTGTGCTATTTTGCTCCTCTCTTTCCTTTGACTTTGAAAATATCTGATTACTTGAGCCAAAGTGCTGAGGAGGAGGCTGGCTGTGAAGGGTTTCCTTGTATCCTGCTCACTTAAGAAAATTTGATATGCTCCACACAGTGCGGAAAAACAAATTGGATGCAATTGCCCACTGGAAAAAAAGTTTTTTATTTAAAATCTGTATACAAGTTAAAAGAAATTATCCTTTAAGCATTTTGCATTGCTTAGAGCTGGAGGGAGTGAAATTAATGTTTTCCTCCATTTTGTTGGCTTAACAGTGCTTTTAATTGGGGAATAAAAGAAAGTGTTTGGGAAAATGGCACCTTAAAATTGTTACATTATTCCTCGCAAATTAGAAAAAGTTATCTCCTTTCCCTTCTGACCCCTGGCCTGTCTTCCTGAAGTGAGTTTAATTTTACTTTTTTGGTATGTCTAGGAAAATTAATTTTGCTGCAAGAATTAAACTGAATTTTCTTCTCATGGATCTTTTGCTTTTAATACTTTAAAAAAGACCTGTGGTAGAGATGTATTTTAAATAACATGCAATGGAATTTAGCTTCCTTGTCCATTACTTTCCATACACATTTTATTCCTTTAGTAATTGGAGATAGCACAAATATATCTCTGTAAGTTGCCATGGGGATATTTGTGACATTACAGACATAGTTGTATGTGAAAATAAGTATACCTCTGATCAATTTATTCCTGGAACTATGTATAGTATTTTGACAGTGACCTACAAAATACTTTTAGAAACACCTGGTATGTCAGATTCTTAATGGCCAATAGTTTAGAATACTTAAACCCAGTTTCTCTACTTGCCATCACTGTACCATCAAAAATTATCTCTTTTTTAAAAAGAGGATCTTCTATATGAGGGAGTTTTGAAATCACTCTTTTCTCATAAAAATAAGAGTTTTTGTTTGTTTTGCTTTTGGGGGTATTTTGCTGTTGTTATTGGGAACAGGCAGTACCAAATCTATAATTTTAATGGATAACAAAAGAAAATGATGACTGAGTAAATAGTTTTAGCAATAAGTACACTGTGCACCCCAGTACTATCCATCAAACCTAGCGTTGGACTGTAAAGCTTACACCTTGAGCAAGCTTTAAGTACTTAACAGAAGGGTAGTGATTTTGTATAAACCATAAAGAAAGACCAAAAAATTGTTTCATTTCTTTTTTCTCCTCTCAGTTAAATCTCCCAAATTCATATTACAGGAGGATCCCTTTTCCTCCAGGAATTAATCAATGCTGAAACCTTTCAAAGTGGTATTAGAGTTGTTGGAAGCACCATGGATGGATTTTATGATCAGCAAGTCCCTTTTATGGTCCCAGGGGTAAGTTTATGTGGTTTTGGTTTGTTTTGTCCTCCTTCTTCAATATGAGTTTTCTCCTTATTGGTTTAGAGGGTCGACCCCCTTTGCACTTCTTTACTGCACTGTCTGTTGGCCTCTTTCAGAAATCTCGGTCTGAAGAATGTAGAGGGCGGCCTGTGATTGACAGAAAGAGGAAGTTTTTGGACACAGATCTGGCTCATGATTCTGAAGGTAGTAAAGCTTCCCCTCCTATTCTGTGGCTTCCTCAAATACTCCCAGAATCAGCAGCATGTAGATTCTTGCCCCTCTTCTCCTGGGTAGAAGAAATACCCTTAATCTGCGGTCTTCTGTTTTCAATTCCAGAGTTGTTTCAAGATCTCAGTCAACTTCAAGAGGCTTGGTTAGCTGAAGGCAAGTTTCTTGGATGTCCTATTTTCCATATAAAACATTTTACTGTGCTTTTTAATAAACTTAAAGGTCTAAAATAAAAATGTCTTTTTCAGCACAAGTTCCTGATGATGAACAATTTGTCCCAGATTTTCAGTCTGATAACTGTAAGTACCTATCTGGTGGTGGCGCATTTGTTCTGAAATTGTTTGGTCTTGAACACTATGTCTAGAATATCAATACAGCTATAGCCAGCAGAGTTGGTATGCATTTAGTTTCTTTTAAAATGCAGCATTAACCCTGAAAACTTTGGTTTTGTTCCTTACTAAAATTATTTCTAAAGTACTCTACTCTATTGCAGGCAAGATTTATTGAACATAATCTCATCTTAAATTTCTTTTTGCCTTAAGACTATTGCAAGGCTTCAAGCTCAAAATTATAAATTAACTGACATATAAGATGTTGGACAAAACATCTGTAAGTCAAACATTATTTCATAGTTTATTTTGTTGTTGTTTCCTTTGTTAAGTTCTTGATGTGAACCATGAAACTGACATTTTTCTTTTTTTTAAAGGTGCAGAAAATACATAGTTAATGGAAAATTCTGGTTAATAAGGATTTCACCCAACATGTTGTCAGTTTTGTTTCTACTTCTGAGCTGAAAAGAGGTAGTCACAGAGTGACTGGATTTAGTCTTTTTTTTTTAATGTAGCTGTTATGGGTTTTCTGTTCAAAGAAGAGTAAAACTTTTTCTTCAAATGATCATTAAGGCCTCATTACTGGAGATAATCAAGTGCAGTGGGAGGCCCAAAAGGTGGTTCTCAGCACTGGCAGGGGCATGGTTGGCTTTGCACTGATCTTTTGGGTCTGTTCTCAACAGGTCTGGGAGCTTTTATGGTCAGGGGGCAGAGCTATCAAGGACAAAGCTGGCTGATGAAATTTGAGCAGTGCAGGGCTGCTCTAGAGAGCATTAGTCACTGGCGAATGAGCAGGTTTAAGAGAGGCCTGGAGAAAATACTGCCTCTTGAGAGTTGCATCATAGAGAAATTCATGTCTCTTAGTCATAGTTTATAATAGCAAGCACCTGAGCCATACAAGGATTCAATTTCTCATTTTGTACCAACAAATTCTTCCCAGCTTTGTTTTATCTCTGGGGGGTGTGTGTGTGTATAAGTAAAAATGCCACTAGAGAGAGGGTATTTTGGGGTCTCCATAAAAGCTGGGTATTCTAATTCTATTAAATGAAAGAACAGAGGTACCAGCTAAGCATTATTTAATGATAGGCCTTATGTTCAAGGCATAATGCCATGAAACTTTAAAAGGGAATAAATTGTAACCCACATTTGCATGGTTACCTTGGCTTTGTTACAGCTTGCTGTAGATGTTTTCTATAGTAAGGTAAATGCATGCTAATTATCGCCCTTTGATTATTTTTAAATGATTGGGAAGCTTGCTGCTGAAACCCTAAAGAGAGATAACCCATTTTGTGTGTGTGTGTGTGTGCGCGCATGTGCGCACTCGTGTGCATTTTTGCAAGATGAAAGACAGGATTTGTAATCCAACTTTGTTCTGTGTTGACAGTTTGGCTCAGCCTTTCCAGTTCTTGCTCAGAGGAGCATAAACTGCAGTCTGTTTGGGAGGTGGCTTTCTTGGCAGAGGTTCTTTGAAATGCTTTTATGACACTTTTGTTTGTTTCTCTGTAACCCAAAAGAGTTAAAAGGGAGATGAGATGGCTGCATTCAGATTGATAGCATGTGCTGAAGCGAGGGTATGTTCTTTGTCAGCAAACAGGATTTATAGTTGGAGATATATTTATCTCTGGGAATAGGCTAACATGAACAAATCAATACATGTGTTTTGGCTTCTTAAAAATAATTTCTGCTTAGAAAAAAGGATCTGCTAAGTTTTTTAATTAAAACACCATACCTTAAATCAAGATGTGTGGGAGACGTTTCTGTCCACCAGGTATGATGTTTTTTACTTTGTTTGCCTTTTGCTCTTAACTTCTTAAGTTTGAGTTTTTCTATCTTTTAATAATAAAAACAGTTGACTAACCTAAAAAAGTCTTTTCCCAATGTTTTCCTTCTCTTGGAATTTTTATTTCTTGAGATGGAGCTTGGACAATAGATCCAAATAGATTGACTTCCCTGAGAGCTTACAGATTCCGAATGGTGTCTGGGAGAGCCGTTCACTCTTGCTGTTACATCTGATGGCTCTTCAGATCTTACAGATACATGGGAGGGGCTGGCAGAGCCCATAGCTGGCTGCTCGCTCTTGTCTCTGAGCACTTTTCCCAGCTTGGTGTTGTGGACCAGTTCCATTCTAGAAGTTTTCTGGAAGAGCCCATGACTTTTAAGAGGAAGGAAAGAAAATCATTCAGATTTAATGAAACTTTATAAGTTGGTTTGACTCACTCAATCCATGAACTATAAACCAAACTCTGTATTTGGGAGGATGTGGGGAAAGCAAACCTTTTTCCTACAGTAATAGAAACATTTGTAACAAATGTTTTTACCAGTGGCCTCTGATAATAGACTTTCCTGTTAAAATGATTTGGTTAATTTTCCTGTGTGTGTGTAGGTGAGAGAGAGAGAGAGAAAGAAAGAAATACTAAGTACGTAGGCAATCATTTTTATTTTAGAATATCAGTTTTAAAGATTATGGCTTCCCCACCACCACCAAGCACTGTAAACTCAGTTTCTAAAGACATTATATTTTGTTAAGCACTTCAGATTTGGGTTCCCTGCTCCCAGGCATCCACCTTAATGGAGCAGGTGAAATCATTGTTATTGTAAGTCTTATAGAAATGCTCAGCTTCCTTCTAGCTATGCAGATTTCACCTTTAGCTCACAAATACAGACATCCCCCCACCCGGAAGCTCTTAAAGGTAATATTCAAGGGAATAGGAACCTATACAGCTTAGGGGTTCTTCCACTGTCCCCCATTGTCCTTTAGCCCTGACAAGTCACCCTGAAGATCCCAGATTAAGCTGGAAGTCACTTGGGGAGATGGTCTTGCCCAACACTCATATTTTAGTGAGGCAATAATGTAAGATCCAGATAGCTGGAGAGTAACTGACCAATGTTTCGTGGGCAAATAAGAAAGATGAAACAAAGAGAGAAAAAGAATTTATAAAATAATATTCTTAAGCTGTCACAAAGCTGCAGACTCAGGGAATATAGACATATTCAGGTGTATTCAAAGCTCTCTGTTATTTCACACACCTAGAGATGGGTCTCAGGGAGGCTGCTGAATGACCAGCCCAACAGGGCAGGTCTCTTCCTTCTGTGATCCTAAGAAAGTTCTTAAATATCTTGGTGCTTTGAGTTTTTCCCTCTAAGATTTGGAAGAAAGAAATAATAAAACAAATAAATTATAAAAACTGACATGTTTTCTACAAGACACACTAGTATATGTACTTATAAAACTTTGTGTACAGGCTGGGCTCACACCTGTGATCCTAGCACTCTGGGAGGTTGAGGCAGATGGATTGCGTGAGCTCAGGAATTCAAGTCCAGCCTGAGCAAGAGTGAGGCCCTGTCTCTACTAAAAATAGAAAAAAACTAGCCGAGTGTTGTGGTGTGCACCTGTAGTCCCAGCTACTCGGGAGGCTGAGGCAATAAGATGGCTTGAGCCTAAGAGTTTGAGGTTGCTGTGAGCTATGATACCATGGCACTCTACCTAGGGTGACAGAGTGAGACTGTCTCAAAAATATATAAACATTTTAAAGAATGAGATAACACTGTGTGTACATATATTGCATATATTAAAATCTATAAATGTTTGCATATGAGTATGTATATATGTATTTTTATTATATATAAATGTATGTATAGCTTGCATATATATGTATTCCACATATATAATAGCATATGTTATAGCTAAATATGTGCATTAACAAATAGAGCTACTACACAAAGGAATCTGGGTCAGTACATACATCTTTTTTTTTTTTTTTTTTTTTTAGACAGGGTCTTGCTCTGTTGCCCAGGCTGGGGTACAGTGGCATGATCATAGTTCACTGCAGCCTCAAACTCCTGAGCTCAAGTGATCTTCCTACAGCCTTCTGAGTAGCTAGGATTGCAGGCACATGCCAGGGCACTTGGCTAATTTTTCTGATTTTTGCAGAAATAGAGTCTCCCTCTTGGCTCACAATGGTCTTGAACTTTGCCTTCAAGCAATCAATGTTCCTCCCTTGGCCTCCCAAAGTAGTAGGATTAAAGGCGTAAGCCACCACACTTGATGGATGTGTATACATCTTTTTTTTTTTTTTTTTTTTTGGTAGAGACAGAGTCTCACTTTATCACCCTCAGTAGAGTGCTG